TAGCATCATTACTTTAAGATGCATCTGGAAAGGTTGGCACTCCTTGTTCACCCTAAAATGCAAACAAGATACATTTTGGCACAAGCAGGATTAGTTTGACAAAGCACAACTTTGAAACTCATGTAACACTACAGAAGGCAAACAAGAAACAATTTTGAAACTACTGTAACGTTTTGGCATCAAATTCCTATCCCAGAAATCTAATAAGGGATTCAAGGTGTACCATCTCTTGCCATTTCTTTGCCATGTCTTTCTCAATGTGTTCAGAATTGCAACTGAACCCATAAAACAACGCCTATCACAATTTAAGAATTCGATACTGACTTCTTCAGTTAAACAAGGATCTGGATTACTAGTGGAAACATAATTGATGATTACTAGTGGAAACATAATTGATGAGCTTGCAATTTAGACAATGACTAAACTACTATTATAATCAAACCAAAAAGCAAAACAACGTAGAAATAGAATCTTCACCCACCAAAACTTAGAAGCTTATGCTAATCAAAATTTATTTTATTGTGCAATGAAAATTAAAAGACAATAGCAGATAAAGACCTCCAGAGTCGGAATTTACAAAAACTATATTCTTTTCCATTAAACACTAAACAAGCACCAAACAAGTGTTAACAGATAAGTCATAGGAATGGTAAGAACCAACCTGGTAAGTTTAAGGGTTCATATTTGCAGTCAACTGCCTAACTAGAGCAGCTAGAGAAGCCACTTGTTCTCTAAGTTCAATCACCTGACCCTTCAACTCAATAACTTCTTGATTTTGAGCAGCTGTAGAGACAAATGTATGAGCACCAAAGACCTTTGTTGGTGTAGGCCCTAAACCCGAGCCACGAACACGACCATAAGCCTCCTTACCCCTCACTTCAGACATAACTGCCTGTTGTAGGGATATTGCATCTAATGAGCTAGTTGCTAACCTCTCTGTGTGCATTTCTTTGGCCTTTTCTATACAAGCAAATAATAGAGCATTAAAGAGATTATAGGGCACAAACTAATCTATCAACATATTAGCCATCTTTATTCAAGTGAGTAGCAATATAAAATGTACCACTGTACTTTCTGCTTCTTCATCAACATATTTGCCATCTTTGTTCAAATGAGTAGCCATATAAAAATCTATTTCTCCCACAAGCTCACCACCATTTTTCTCTTCCTACATAAGAACAAAATTTCATATACGTAGTCTTTTTATGCTCTTAAGAACATTAAAAATTTGAAATTAGATTTTACCATTTCATCTCGTAGTATAGCAAAGCTCTTACTACCAGTTGCATGTGTAATCTTCTGCATTGCTCGACTCTTTTTGCATTTTTCTTCCTTTTTCTATAAAATTTAAGATTATTATCAACACTTGAGTAATCAAACAAACCATAGAATTAAAAGGAAGTTCCATACCTTGCCACCAGCAGATTTCCAGTAGTGTACCAAGTACTGCCAATCATTAGGTAACACATTGCGTGGAACATTTCTAGCATTTTCCTCAGACTTCTCAGGATAATAAAATCTTCCCTTCAACCAGCTTTTATGATCCTTCCACTTCTTACCAACAGCTTTATTCACCCAACTGTTTAGGGTATCTTTGTATGAAAAGTATTACTGCCAAATACAAGTAAAAATAATCTAAAAGTTGCTTCCTCCAGTCTAGTGCCTACTATATATTAAACGATACAATGACAATTTTAATTATAAAAAAAATTTACCTTTATAACAGAAATTTAAAGAACTTTTTTTACACAGAACAATAGCAAAAAAAATTCAATCAGACTACAAAATAGACATTCCTTTTTCCTTTACAATAAAAATTGAAATTCTAACCATTAAAATCTCACCAATCAGACTACAAAATAGACATTCATTCTCAAAAACAAGCAAAAAATAGCACAATAAAAAATAATCCTTCATTTTTTCAGTAGCCAAAAGACTAGTTAATAAAAGAATCAAAAAGAAGCAAAATAATGCAAGCTAAGCAAAATTACATATTACCACTCAATCTCCTAAACACTTCAATTCGAATTCAACAGAAAAAATAGAAAGAAAAAAACTAAAGGTAATTGAAAATAAATTTGAGTTATTGCAAAATTGATAAGAGACCTAAATAATGCAATTCTAAGTTCTCAGAATGATTACCGAAAGAGAGAGGGATATCGAAGTTACAGAGGTTGCTGGACAATGCCCACGCCGTCACCGGAGTCCAGTAAAATTACCACAGAGAAACACCAAGCCTAGACTGACTGCCACCAGTCAAAAAAACTGCATTTAATTTAACATGCAATCAGAAATGAGAATGAAATCGAGGAGAACCTTCAATTGGAACTTCAGAGAAATTGGAATTGAAATCGGAAATAGCTTGTGGAGGAACTCTTGGAATCGAGGCTGGCTTTTTGGGAAGCCCGTTCCCACCGCGCTCAGGGCCCGCCGGCGACTGGTCAAAAACTTGGTCGGATGCGGGATCCCTCGCTTCAGCGACTGGTAGCAGAGACTTTAATAGACTTCAAAAGGAAGTTCAGAAATGGAAATTGAAATTGGAATTAGAAATGCAGAAACTCTTGGAAAAAAGGAGAACAACAAATGTTTTCTGGAAGGTTTGGGAAATGCTTTCTCGTTCACTTCGTTGCTTTTTTTTCTCTTTTTTTTTTTAAATTCTAATTTTAGTCTAGTTTTAGATTTCGCGCTGTTTCCAACCCGCTATTTTTTTAATTAATTCCCTGCATTTGTCAAATAAAACGTAAGAAATTACTTGCGTTTCGTAAAATGCTGTTATAATAAAGCAAGTAAAAACAAAAAAAAAAAAAATTAGTTGACTGGCGTTTGACGCAAACGCAAAAATAAAATTGCAGGTAATGATTCTCCTTTTTGGAGTGTAAGTCTGTCCTAATATCTATTCTATCATAAGTGTTGCCTGTTTATTTTCTTTTCTCAGACATATATTTAAGGATGTGAGTGAGATCATGTCCTTTTTGTCCAAAGGTAGTATGTTGTTTGGTGATTGGAAGCGAAAGTGTACGTTGGATTGGCAGTTAAGGAATGAAATCCTTCAATAAGCTTTTATTATTTCTGCTACAGAAGAAATGTTTCTTGCTTGATCTAGGCCTTTATTGTTCACTACTTCACTATCTCTACATCTGAAATAAAAAAAGAAAGTTTACAATAAAAAATATAAAGTTTTAGCGGAAAAATACCTTCTATTAAGCACAAAACACTGAAATGTGCAAGAAACTTGATTTAAGATTAAAGTAAAGACATTTTATAAAAGATTTATTTTTATATGTACTTATAAAAGTCTTAATTCTTAAGACATTTATAAGATAATTTATAAATAAAGCAAGAAGATTGGAAACAATGGAATTACCTTGTCTTTATTGATAATTGTACATACATCATTTTTCCTCAAGTTTAACCACCTATTCCATCTTCCTGATGAGAGGCTTCTGCCTCTTATTTATTGGCAGAAGCTTCTACACCTAAGCTTTTTTACCACTACATCTCTACGCTTTTTCAATATGACATGTTGTCTAGACTTCTTCAACATGACACGCTTCAACAACTAAACTACCCTTTTAAATTGTCTAAAATTGAGAAAGATTATTGGTAAAATTGCTTTATAATAATTCAAAATCTCAACACTTTAACTAAGGCAATTCAAGCTCATATCACTAAGAAAAGATCAAAAAATTAAAAATTAAATTAGGTTTTAGTCTCTATATACAAAAAATAAAAAGCATGAATTTTCATATGAAAGCTGGTAAATAAAATTTATAATGAAAGTAGCACAGAGTCCTAACTCCTCGTACCTATCTCACTACACACACAAGAAGAATTCATTTAGAAGGGAATTTGTGTTATGTAAATCAAAGAAGAACATGAAAACAATTGAGAAGAACCAACCCAGCAAATTGTGAGCAGAAATAGCTAGCAACTCCGTACCTGTTATTTTCAGAAAGCAAACCCTGCAAATCATGGGCACAAACCTACCCATCGTCCAATGTTTACCCTTTGTATAAATGAATTTTTTTATGTGGCATTCTTCTTTGTGGGATAATTATTTTTAGCATAATTATAAACTTAACCATCTTAATTGGGTATTTAGAATGCATGGATGAACTCTACAAAAAATCTTGATACTTATCTTGATCCTACGCCAATAAGATTTATTTTGCTTGCAAGCATTATTTTGATTCTTTATATAAGTCGTGTATAAGTGATTCCATATGCCTAGGCTGTATATAAACGTGATAGAGGAAATTCTTAAACTCAATCTTTTTCTTTAAAGAAATATTATATTATATTATATACATTGATTGATTTTTATTTGCTTTTACAATGCATGCATATTATCTCAACCTTATTATGTTTTCAAAATTTTGACTATTTTCCATGACTGCTGAATTCTCCAACAGAATTCAACTTAGCCTTATCAACCAGTGGTAGTGTCATAAAAAGTTAGAAAGTGTTAATATCAACCCAAAGAACATCATTAAATATTAACTAGAGAAAAAATCAAGGGTTACCAAGCACAAAGTAGGCAGGTTTGTTAGCCATGTCCCTCACAGTAGAACTTTCAAGTTGCTCACCCTCACCAGTTCCCAAAAAAAGAAATAAAAATCGAAGTGATTATAAATCTGCATGTTATGATATTGACATTGTTGCATATAATTGATACAAAAAGTTCTAATGATGGAAAAAAGGGTGCATCGAAGGGGGAAATTGCTGACCTTCCAAACAAAATCAAGTAGATCCATTGCATATGTAATGCCAACTATATTGTCAACACGCTACTCAAAAACAGGTACCCTGTAAACAGAAATCTTTCAACAGGTTTCTTAAAGGAGACAAAGCCTTAGACATGAATTACCAATTCCCTGCCTTGTGAGTCACCCACAGATGTTGGAAATCAACAAGAGTTGCACTTGCATCAATTGCAACCATATCAACAAGGGGTGTCTCTACCTCTCTAACATGAGTATCCTTTATCTCCAATACATTTTCAATCATATCCTGCAAGGAATTCATAAAATTAGAACACGTAAACTGTAAACAAACAGAAAGGCACCTGTTGGCAAAAAAATTAAATTGGATTTCCACTAGAATCTGATTTTAAAACAGAAATTGCTAGAGAAATATATGGCAAGGAAAAGATATGTTCTACTGTAACTGTGCAACCAGAGTCAAGCATAGATGATGTTGATCAATTTCATCTTAGTAAAAGCATTCAGCAACTGAAGAAACTTCCTAGTTCTTATATGAAACAAAAGAGATACTCATGTAAGTACAGTAAAGAAAAATTAGCATATTTCACTACCTGCTCTTCCTCCTCTATTGCTCCACTAAACTCTGCCCCATCTAACATCAGCTTCAATTCATCTTCAGTAACATAAGGTTCACTAATTTAAAGAGAAGACATGCAAAGCATTCAGAAAGCAGTCAATTCAAACTTAACACTTACAAGCAATTGGAAACAAAAAGTGAAACAGAGAAAATGGAGGATATGATTTCCTTCATTTTCTCCCTTTCAGATCAAGTACTATAAACATTCCCATTGATAAATATGTAATGATTCTTCCCACTGGATATAATATCAAGGAAAGCCAAGCCGGTGGCCCGACCTAGTGTCACAGCAAACAGCATTAGTCAAATAATCTTAAATTGCTAGTAGTCATCAGCAAGGTAGAAAAGAGTTATATACATAGCAACATAGACCATGGAGTTTGAAAGAGAGAGTTAAATTTTCTCAGCAAAGTTTCAGTTGCCAATTCAAGAGGAAAATGGAAACTTAAATGGAAAACTTACCACAAATCTAGCAACCTCCACGGGATTGTGAACAGCTATACTTTTTGGAGTGATCTCAGTAAGAAGCAAAATAGCAACCTAGAATCATTTGGAAAAATTCAATGATTATAATTTCTTTCTTTCTTTTATGTTCTTATTTTTTTTTGTTCCCTCAACAAAGGTGCTATGCCTTTCAGTGTGCACAGATACATATAGACCATACTACATCAAGAATGAATAGTGCCCGAAAGGTTTGGTTACCTACAATATCGAAAAAAGAAAAATTAAAAATGACCAATGCCCAAGAGTTGAAATGCAAGTATCTATGTCATGGGAAGTCCTACATTCTGTAGTCTATCAGAATTACCCATCATGATTTCTTATTTATTCTTCATTCATTGTTTACAAAGGAAGTACTAAACTTTGTAACACTGAACAACACAAACCA